ATAAACCAGGCAGTGGTGGCACATTCCTTTAATCCCAGCCCTCAAGATCAGCTGATATCTGTGAGTCTGAGGCCAGCCTGGTCTACAGAGGGAGTTCCAGGACACCAAGGCTACACAAAGAAACCTTGTCTGAAAAACAACACAAAAATAAAATGTAAAATGCATGTGGAAACAGAACAGCAGCTTGATATTTCATCATGTTGCATCTGGCAGAAACTTTTTATTTCATTTCTTGGTGGGGGGGGGTGGAGTTTTGAGACAAACTTTTGAGACAAGCTCTGGTTGTCCTGGAATGCTGTACCAGGCTGACCTCACACTTACTGATATTGCCTGCCTTTACCTCCCAAGTGCTGGGTTTAAAGGTAGGTGCCAATACACATCCCTTAATTTTGTGTTTCTTGAGATAGGTCTTACTATGTTAGCTTGGCAAGATTGGAATTAACAGCTGTCTGCCTGCCTCTGTTTAAGAGGGCTAGGATTAAAGACATGTTACTATGCTCAATTTAAGACGTTTTTCTTTTTCACTTTCTTTTTCTAAGATTTATTTATTTATTTAATGTATTTGAGTACCACCATCCCTATCTTCAGATACACCAGATCACATTACAGATGGTTGTGAGCCACCATGTGATTGCTGGGAATTGAACTCAGGACCTCTAGAAAAGCAGTCAGTGCTCTCAGCCCCTCTCTTTCTTTCTTTCCTTGCTTCCTGCCCCAGCCCACGGGGATTCGATGAGACTTTAGGGAAGGGCGCAAAAGAATGAAGGGACAAGAGACACAAGGAATGAGAGCAAGTCTGGAGTTCTGATCAAGCTCTGAAACTTTAATTTTGGGTGCAGGTTATAAAGACACAGCAAACTGGGAAGTTTGGGTGAGGGTCATTGCTTAGGGCTATCCCACTATTGAATGCTTATTGCCCTAGACCATCCCACTGTCATATCCTTATTGCCCTAGACCATCCCACTGTCACATCCTTATTGCCCTAGACCATCCCACTGTCACATCCTTATTGCCCTAGACCATCCCACTGTCATATCCTTATTGCCCTAGACCATCCCACTGTCATATCCTTATTGCCCTAGACCATCCCATTGTTGTAACCAGCTCCTAGGAAATGCCAGACATTCTTTAAGTTCCTGGGACCTGAGACTAGGTTTCCCAGAACAGCAGGTAATTTCCTGGGTTTGGCTCCCAGCAGCTTCCTTCTTTCCTTCCTTTCTTCTTTCTTTTTTTGAGACAGAGTCTCTTTACATAGTCCTGGTTGTCTTGGAACTCACCTTGTAGATCTGGCTGGACTCAAATTTACAGAGATCTACCAGCCTTTGTCTCCCAAGTGTGGGGATTAAAGACATGCATCACCATAAAACTGGCCTCCAGTTTTAGATTTTAAAAATTATGTACATATGTCTGGGTCTGTTAGGGTGTATATATGAGAGTGCAAGTGCCCTCAGAGGCCAAAAGTCTTAGAACTCCCTAGAACTGGAGTGTTTCAGGCTGCTGTGAATTACCAGACATGGAGTAGGGGAACAAAACTCTTCCAGTCCTCTGCAAAAGCAGTACACTTTCTTAGCCACTAAGCCATTGCTTCAACCCAAATCAGAAGCTTCTCTATGTAGCATTGTGTTACATGGTAATAGGAAAATTTCCTGTTACCAACTAAAATGCTGAGCCTAATGTCTTAGTGAACACAGAGGGTCTAAGCCAAACATTGTCTGTTTTGTGAACACTGGTTTTATCTTGCTAATTTATAATGGATCTGCATACCAAATCAGATGTTAAAATCTCATGTTTATAACAGAATATATTATCTATTAGTATTAATTAATGTTCAGTGACCACCTTTTCTTCCTAATATAGTAAAAATAGTAATTTCAACATTGACAAAATTTGTCTATGTATTCTACATAGGCAAATTTCAGAAACCATGTACAAGTGGCTTTACATATAGGCTGGCCCTTTTGTTTTCTTTTGAATTTAATTTTAGGTTTCATAGCAAAAAACAGTTTAAAATTTCTTGAGCAGCTGTGTGGTGGTGGTGCACACCTTTGATCCCAGCACTCAGGAGGCAGAGGCAGGTAGATTTCTGTGAGTTCAAGGCCAGCCTGGTCTACAGAGTTCCAAGACAGCCAGGGCTACACAGAAAAACTCTTATTTTGGAAAACAAAAACAAAAATAAACAACCAAAGCAAAAAAAAAAATTCTTGAGTATCTAATAAAAGATTATTTATTTATTTATTTACTTATTTATTTATTGAGACAAGGTCTATCTGTGTGGCTCTGGCTGTCTTGGAGCTAAGTAGACCAGCTGCTGGCCATGAACTCAGAGAGATTTACTTGTTTCTGTCTTCAGAGTGCTGGGATTAAAGGCATGTGCCATTATGCTCAGGAAAAAGCATATTTTAACAATGTAATAATGCAAGGTATTAATTATATCTCTTGAAAAACTATAGCAAGTTTTTAAAATTTTTTGCCTTTTTTTCTCCAGAAAGAATATTTGAATATGATAGATTCAAACCATTTGACCAGAAAGCAGTTTATTTTTTAAAATAATTTTTATTTTGTGTGTAAGAATGTTTGCAGGGCTAGAGAGACGGCTCAGTGGTTAAGAGCACCGACTGCTCTTCCAGAGGTCCTGAGTTCAATTCCCAGCAACCACATGGTGGCTTACAACTGTCTATCTGATGTCCTCTTCGGGTGTGTCTGAAAAGAGCAATAGTGTACATAAAATAAATAAATAAAACTTTTAAAAATCTTGTTATGTAGACTTCAGGTTAGTATCTTTTCCTGTTTTTAAGAGCTAGTTAGAAGAGAGAGCTGCCCTCAAAACCTAAGTCAGAAGACTGTTTTGTGGAAGATCCACAGTGGTTAGCACGTCCCAGAGCCTTGACATGACTCAGAACCAATGGTATAAAACCAATGGTTTTACCCCAGATTTTTTTTTTTCTCCAGTGAATACAGACAATAATATCAGGTTCTCTCTCCCCCTCTCATTTTCTTAAATGGCCAAAGCAGTCTTTTCCTTTGACATAGGATTTTGTCCTGTTTGAGGATTATGAAAGAAGAGAGTGATGGAGGAGGAGGAAGCAGCTGCTTTTCCTGTAGAGGACAGAAGGGGGTAAGGGCTAAGAAAGATTTTTAGAATTTATCTTTTGACACCATCTCTAAATTTTGTTAACATCCTGACCTTGATTATCTTAATTCTGAGAGTTTAAAAAACTCTCATATTAACTTTTTGTTGTCTTTGAGACAGGGTTTCTCTGTGTAGCCCTGGCTGTCCTAGAACTCTCTCTGTAGACCAGGCTGGCCTCCAGATCCTGCCTCTGCCTCCCGAATAAAGGTGTGTGCCACCACTGCCCAGTTCATTTTTCTCTTTCCTTTTTATTTATTTTGAATTTTTTTGAGACAGGGTCTCACTATGTAGCCTTTTTGGCCTCAGACTCACAGAGATGTGTCTGCCACAATGCTTGGCTTATTTCTTCTCTTAAATGCATTTAAATTCCACTTAAAGCTGACTGTTCATTTATTATCTTTAGTTTTATTACTTGGACTTCTAGATTAGCATGCAGGAAAAAAATCAGCAGTACTGAATGATCCTCACTGAGGGAAATATAAAGCCAAAATATCTTTAGAGTTCTTTCTATTTACAAATGCTTGCAGTGTGTACTATCTTGTCAAACAGAAAATCAACTGTGGGGGCTAGGGAGATGGTTTTGCTCATCAGAACAGATTACCTGAAGTTAAAATAAATATTTTAATATTTATATATTTTGATTGTACGAGCAAAATGTTGTGTTATAAGCCAGAGGCTGAAATGATCAGTTAAATTATGGAAAGAGTTCTGTTCCCAGTACCCACATGGTGATTTGCAACCACTGTAATTCCAGTTCCTGGGGATTCAATTTCCTCTTTTGACCTCTGTGGACATCCAGTACATACATACTTGTAGGCAAACACTCATACACTGAAACTCATACATCTGAAACCTAAAAACACTCAGACTGACTGGAGTACCAAACAGTAGCTTTTTTCCATACTTTCTCTCCTTCCTTAGATCCATTTCCCACTCCCTGAAGTCTACAGCCTCTCTATGCTTGCTGGGAAGCTGTGTCTCCATCAGTTAGGTTCTGACTTCAGAATCATTCCCAAGTTAGTTCTTCCCAGTGTGTATTGGGCTTTCCTTAAAGGTTTGAAGGTACTCAGGACTCCAGTGCTTGTCAGGCACAAAAGCAGCTCAGGACAAATGTCTGTGGTTCCTAGCATACCAAAGTGCCCACAGGCCTCCAGGCTCACTCAGTACCTGTAGCTTCTCTCAGCTCTTTTCACCCCATCTCCTAACCTAAGTCTCTTCAGCTCATGGCTTCCCTTCCCTTCCCCTAGATTCTGATTCCTATAAAAACCTGCCATTTCTGTCATGGATTCTCTTTGCCCTCTCCTCTCTTGGCATTCCTTCCCTTAAAGGAACAACACCATATGCTAACATTCCAGGATCCCTTAGTGCTATCTTTAAGCACACAGACCTCTGTGCCTCGTACAGCTGGTGGCCTTTCTTAAAGTGGAGTCTTTTAGAGTTTTTCCATGGTAAAGCTACTGTTTGCTATTTGCAATTACTAAGAATTTTGGGGAGAAAATTTTCTTTGTTAAAATAGACGAAATCTCCCAAACAGTAGGGATACAGCTCAGTCAGTGCTTTTAGCATTAACTCAAGTGTACTTGAGACCTCAACATGTCACCTTTTAGTCCTGTTTTTAGCATCCACGATTTTTCATGTCCAGCAGCAACTACTTAAGTGTTTGGCCAACAGAAGACAGTTTTCGCTGGTCGGTGGTGGCGCACGCCTTTAATCCCAGCACTTGGGAGGCAGAGGCAGGCAGAGGCAGAGAGTTCGAGGCTAGCCTGGTCTACAGAATGAGTTCCAGGACAGCCAGGGCTACACAGAGAAACCCTGTCTCGACAAAAACCAAACCAAACCAAAAAAAAAAAAGAAGAAGAAGAAGAAGAAGACAGTTTTCTATAGTTTTTATTACATTTATTGACTTGAATGAGAACATAAAGGAAAGCTAAACTTTTCGATGTTCTCGTTAGTATTAATATAACTTAGCTCAACCTTAGTTCCGTGTCCATAAGTAATGCAATGAAATAATGGTTTGTGGGTATAGACTTGGAGGGCTTAGGAACAGACCTGGCTAACTCCATTTTGGTTTTGAGTCACTTCCGTCCTAAAGAATTTTCCTAAATCTTATTTACTGCTACCTCGGGTGTTAGATCAGTCTTGAACAGCTTAAGTCTTTGGCACTGACACAGGTTTGCAAAGCCGATCTAAGGTCTATCCGAGACCAAAAGGATCCCCAACTGGCTCTGCTTCTCTTCCCTTTTTGACACAGAGGATGCTGTAAGCACATAGAACAGATTTTTAGTCATCAGACCTTTGTCCTTCCTGGTGTGGTGACACTGAGAGTAAAACTCCTTTCCTGTCCTCACCATCGCGCATCTTGTTCGTTCGTTGACTTTCTAGGATGGGTGTACCTCCAACTTAGTCCTCGAGACGACCCGGAGTCCGAGCTCCATTGTCATTCTCAAACTCAAAAGTAACTATTAAGCTCAACAGAGGCCAGCTCCCAGCAGCTCCCAGCGTTCCTCGCACTCCCGCGCTCCCCGGCTCCCAGCAGCCTCTACGCGCCTCTTTCCCGGCGCACCCCGCGGCCGCAGCTCAGCCCCACCCGGAGCGAACGCCGTTAGCCTTTCAAGGCTTGCGTCTGGTCCCGCCCACGCGGCCTCCATAGCGCCTCGCAATTGGGCCGCGCGCGCCTCGCGCCGCCGATTGGCGGCCTCCTCAGCCCGCTCCCGGCTCCCCCAATGCGCTGCGGCCGTGCGCCGGGATTGGTCGCGCTCCACCAAGGCCCGCCTTCCGCTCGCCCGCGCGGCAGCGGGTCTCAAGAGCGGAGAGCTTGCAAGGGCCTTCGTAGGTTGCGGCGGCGCTGGGGCGGTGAGGGTCGGCCGACAGTGGTCGGGCTGCGGGCGGCTCGGGCAGGTCGCGGGCGCCACAGGTAGGTGCGGGGCGCGATGGGCGCCCCGCGGGCGGCGGGCGCTGCGGCCTGGAGAGGCTGCGCCCTTTCCTTCCACCCCCCCTCCCGGGCGAGGCCACAGGCCGGGGCTCGGGGCGGGGCGCGGCGCGCTAGGCGGGCTGGGCCACGCGGAGTCGCGGCCTTTGTGCAGTGGGGGCCGGGTCCGGAGCTCAGGCGTCATGGACATAGGGTGCTGCCGGCCTGATAACGAAGCCCCTTGGGCAGTGGGCCCGAAGCCATCGCCTCGCCTTCTGGCGGGAGAGGTGTGGGCAGGGACACCTCAACGGCCTGAACTCTGCCTGTTTTGTCTGTTTGGAAAAGCCGAGAAACCGCCCAAGTCTCCACCAAATTATCCGTGGATGAAGTATCATGTAGCTTATCAGAATGTGGTTTTACAGTAACAATGAACGTTGTAGAAATAAATGGGAAGTGGCAACCTGTTGACAGCGATACCTGTCAAGTAGTATTCATCCAGTGGATTTGGGTTGCTCATGGTAGGAATTTGATTTGCCATCTTGCATGCTTGCATGTACCTCATTGCCGGATGCAGAGATGTCCCATGTAGGGTTGTTGACTCTTGTATGCCAATCACTATTAGGGTGCCCACTATCTGCTCCCTCAAACTAGACTCCCAGTCTTGGAAGTGGCTCAGTTTCCACTGTAATCCATCACTAACCGAAGGGAGTGAAAGGCTGGTCAAGCGAGTGTGGCCTGTCAGTTTAGAACTGGATTTGCAGGATGACAAAGGAATTGATGAGGTCATACTGCCTTTGGGTTGACCAGGAGGCTGCAGCTGTAGCACTGGCCATCAGTTCAGCAAGTGGGAGTTGTTCAGATGTGTTGGGTAAGCTCTGTGCCAGGGCCCAGGGCAGCCAGCTGTGGGTCTAACTTGCTCAAGTCTAATTGGCAAATCAAGATCTGAATCCATAGGTCCAGTCAGCTGAAGAATAGTGAGGTAGCTGCATTGCCAGGCATGTTGTGGAGCAGGCAGGCAGTTCAGTGGCTCTCTGAATTTTACCTTGTGAGAAACACGATTTTGACTGGTTTGCCCAGTTTGGCCTTGTGTCATTCCCCTCCCATGTGATCTCATGTAGTTTTCACATCAGTTTCCTTTGACATCTTCCATTCCATTTCTAATGCTGCCCTTTCTGATCTCCAGCCTCCTGCTTCTGGTTGTCCATTTCACTTTGATACCAAATAGTTTGACCCAAGCCAAGATACAGCCATAGTCTGTGCCAGAACAATCCTTATGCTTGGCTAAAGTCACCTTGGTGCCTCTCTTAGGCCTACATACATCTCTTAGGAAGCCTTGCCACCTGTTTCCAACAGCAGACCATTTCCCAGAAACTGTAACCTAAAGTCCCTGTCCAAGCTACCTGGTGAGCTTTTTAATTCTTCCTCTAATTTGATCCCCACTCTTACCCTCTTAGTTTTTATGGACACAGAGTGATTCATTAAATTGTAAGATGTTATAAAACTGAGGTAGTACAGACTCAGGCCTGCTTGTTTGGGCGGCAAAGCAGCTGTACCACTTCCTAGCTTTGCAACCTTGAGCAAGTTGTTTAACCTTTCTGACACAGTGCTGAGTGAGTTGCATAAAATCCTTAGAGCAGGGCCAGTGTGAGGGTTGGCTGCCATTGTTACTCATGAATCAATGGTACCACTGTTTTGACCCCTTCTGTGCAGTATCCTGTTATCAAGATAAAAATGTAAAAAACTGAATACTTGTTACCCAGGCCTGCTGTCAGTTTCATTCAGCATACTATCCCTAGCTTGGCCACACCATGGCTCTGCCCCAGGGTCTTTGCTTTTCCTTTCAGTGTCTTCTACAGTGACCCTCCTTTTACCCTTATTAAGCACCTGGCCCCATCTGTGTCATCTTTAGATAGGCCCTTGTTGTAGAGTCTGTGTAATCTTTTGGAAGCTGCTTCCTAGCTTTTTTCCTTGCTTTGTTTTAGCAGAATATTTGTCAGGATGTAACATCATAGATACTTTTCTTGTTATTATACATCTCTCACACTAATATGCTCTTGTGGAGGAGGAAGGAGTAATTGCTCTGTGGGGCAAGTGTTTTCTCTGCTTTGTGCTTGACACATATAAATGATGTGTGTGCCTTATGAAAGGCATTCAGCAAATAGTTGGTTAATGAATTGAGTAAGCTTTCAGAGGGAAGGTAAGAAACTTACCAAGCCTGCTGAGCTCAAGAGCTAGACAATTTGCCTTCTTCTGAAAGATGTATACTTTCCTTTTCTAGGGCCTCAGGGTCCCCACCTATGGTGTGTATCTCTTCAAAGCTTTCCTCGCTTTAACACTTAGTAATGTCTTCGTTGATTGTCTTCATCCTGTAGTTCCTCATTGGCCCACTGCTTTTAACATGCAGTATGCTTCCCCATCCTCTGCCACTCTTTGTCTCCAACCCCTGCTTACTTGAGTGTTCTTAGCATTAGCATATTCTACCTCAGAAACCATAGATTTGACTTGCTGTGGTCCCTGCACACCTAACAGGCACTGTCCTGGTCTGTTAGGATTAAGCATGCTGACCAGTCTGTCCTCTGCAGTGGTCCTTGGTTGTCAGGAAACTTTGATCTCCCTCCTGGCTCCTTAGTTATTGCTGTTCTTCTCAATCATTCATAAGCACCCTTGATGGGACCATCTTTGGAGAGGTTTTTTTTGTTAAATTTCCATTGAATTAAAAACTGTTAGGCCACTGTCAGTTATAGGAAATAATGTCATAATATAGTTTGACCTTCCAGCTGTATCTAGGCCGTGGGGTCATTACCTCTTGTGGTAGCACCTCTCAGAGTAGACTATGAGTTTTTAAATGGTTTAATTTAACCTAAACAAGCCTCTGGCTTTTATGTTGTACTTTCAGCAAGGCATAACCACCCCACTTAATCCTTTTACTGTAAGCTGCTTATATATAGTTGATGTTTTCTGTTCTCTTGTCCTCTCTGGGGTCATAAGAATATGAGTTAATGTAGGTGCAACCAAGATGTCACCCATGGGCATGGTTGTATGTGTGTATATCTGCACCTGTAACAGTGTGCATGGCATGTGCATGTTTCTGTGCATGATGTGGGAGTGTGCATGTGTGCGTGTGCATGTGTTTCTTCTAATAACCATTCTTTCTGTGGATCTTTGGTTTTGTGGCCAGCCATCTGCTGATCTGTCTTCCCTGTTGTGTCATCCCTCTTTGCAAGCATCCTCTGTAGCAGAGCTTCCTAGGATTATATACTTCCCTTTCTGCTATTTCCCTCTTGTGGTTTTGGTGCTTTACTACCAGTTCATGTGGTCTCCTCCCCTAGACCTCTTCAGGGCTCTAGAGTTATGTGGCCTGGCTGAGCACTTGTGAGACAGGGATGTCTACAGCACCCCTCTAGTTTTCTCTCCAGGCTTAAGCTTTTTTCTTCACCTCCTTTTTTTTTTTTTTTCTGCTTTCCACCCCCATAGGGTCTGCAAGCATAGACAATTCCGTGACACTTTCTTATTGTCTTCAGAGCTGCTTCCACATCTTTGTTTTGGAGAACTGTCCCAACATCTGGTGCAGTCCTATACCTGGTATAGCTGTGAGTCTTCTTTATAAGGAGAGTCACTTTCCTGTTGATAGCTCACTGTCCTCAGCCTGGAGTTAAGCTCCAGATGGCACCCAGAATCCTTTCTACCTAGGCTCTAGCTTTCTCCTGTGTTGTTCCACCTACCCCCCAATACTAGCAGGCTCCCTTCCCAACAGACATCCTCCCTCTACTGGGAATGGATCTATGCTGCCACTCCTGGTGACCTCAGCACGCTGCATCACTGTCCTGTCCACGTGCCACGTTGTGGGCCCAGGAGAGGGGGTCCCTGGGTAGCAGAGTGCCTGGCTATATCTCTGAGATCTCTAGTGTCACAGAGTTGAGCTGAGGGTCTCACTCGCCCTCTGACTGACCCAGCCCTTGAAGGTGAGTGGATTGATGTCCCTCTTACGGCCTGAAGGAGGCCATGCACTCTACATGTGTTCTTAAAATGGTGACCTCCCGATGCATGCTTGCTTATGCACTAGACCAGGTTATGGGAGTGCTGTGGGAAAACTTAGCTTTTTATTTTAGTCTTAATTCTTTTTGAGCTCTAAGACTATTTTTGTGCTTCTGAAATAAAGATTAAAGTGAGTAGTTGATAGAATACTTAATTTAGGACTTAAAATTTAAAGTTAGTTTTTTTCTGATGTCTAAAAGGCTTCCTTAAAGGCAGTGTTATCTTGGCCCTTTACTACACCATTGATAACATTTGACTTTTAACTTGGTACCAGAGAAGTAAAAGGCTTCTGTCATTTGTGATGATATTTTTAAATTTCTTTGCAGGTGGAAGAAGAAAGGTGCCACTTTGGCATGAAGATAGACTCACTTAGACGCCAATCTTTTAAGCTGAGTGCATTGTGATTTCCAATAATTGAGGCAGTGGTTCTAAAAGCTGTCTACATTAATGAAAAGAGCAATGTGGCCAGCTTGACTAAGCCGCCAGTGTGTACAGCGCGGGCAGGACGGCACCGGGTCTCGACGGACTTGTGCATGTTAGCAGTATAGATTTATGTAAGGTGGTTTAAAACTCTGGTCTTTTAAACTAGTCTTAATTGCTCATAATATGGAGACATATGAGAGTCCCTCTCCTCTCCCGCGTGAGCCCTCAGGAGAAGCAATGATGGAGAACCGAGCTTGCCCCTTCCAAGTGCTGCCCCATGAACAGTCTCCACCACCTCCCCTGCAAACGTCCAGTGATGCAGAGGTAATGGACGTTGGCTCTGGTGGTGATGGACAGTCCGAACCTCCTGCTGATGACCCATTCAACTTCTACGGAGCTTCTCTTCTCTCCAAAGGATCCTTCTCTAAGGGCCGCCTCCTCATAGACCCGAACTGTAGTGGCCACAGCCCGCGCACTGCCCGGCACGCACCTGCGGTCCGGAAGTTCTCCCCTGACCTTAAGTTGCTTAAGGATGTAAAGATTAGTGTGAGCTTTACTGAGAGCTGCAGGAGTAAGGACAGGAAGGTGCTGTACACAGGAGTAGAACGCAGCACTCGGCCTGAATGTAGCCTCCTTAGTCCTGTCAGCGGGGACGTGCATGCTTGTCCCTTTGGCGGGAGTGTTGGTAATGGGGTAGGCCTAGGGGGTGAGAGTGCAGATAAGAAGGATGAGGAAAATGAGATGGATCAGGAAAAGAGAGTGGAGTATGCAGTGCTCGATGAGTTAGAAGATTTTACTGACAATTTGGAGCTAGATGAAGAAGGAACAGGCGGGTTCACGGCTAAAGCAATCGTTCAAAGAGACAGAGTGGATGAAGAGGCCTTGAATTTCTCCTATGAGGTATGTTGGTGACCAGTTCCCTGGAGGGCTCTGAGCAAAACCCAAAGAGAGGTTTGGAAGTGGCTTTATTTTTAAAAGCAGAGAAATCAAAGCAAAACCCTGTGTAAGGTTAAATATTAATGTGGAGAAGAGAAAGATGTAGAGTTTACATTCCTAAAGTTCCTCAGTAGAAAGTTTGGCTGGCATTGAGTCTTCTCTCTTTCCAACCCGAGTCAGCAAATGCTGCGGAAAAAAAGCCTCTTTGGCTGGGTGTGCTCCTGGAGTAGGCGTGTTGATTTCACTTGTCATTTCAACCTGTTTGTTTTTCAGATGATGAAATGCCATCAGGGCATGCTCAGTCCCCATTGAGGGGCTCCCCTCTGTGTTTCCTCATACATGTGAGACTTGTCCTTGATGCAGAAGCGTGGAGGGCTGTAGGGTCTGAACACTTTATTTTGCAGGATGACTTTGACAATGATGTGGATGCTTTACTAGAAGAAGGTCTCTGTGCTCCCAAGAAGAGGCGAATGGAGGAAAAATATGGTGGAGACAGTGATCATCCATCTGATGGAGAGACAAGTGTGCAGCCAATGATGACCAAGATTAAGACAGTGCTCAAAAGTAAGTGAGTCCATCACAGATCCTGAGCGTTTCATGTCCCCAGAACTGTTTCCTTCCTAAGAATATTTTGGGAGTTCTTTCGTGCCAGGCATCAGTCTGGGTAGAGACACAGGTTTAAGTATAGAATGGTCATGGGAGGTGAAACGAAAACAAATCGGACACACAGCCCAGATTCAGATCTTGACAAATTCCATGGAAGCCACAGAGAGGTATAGATGGGCGGTCCTTGCATGGAGTCCATCAGTGTGTGCCAGGATAAGAGACCAGTAGCCTGCAAATATGGAGGCCAAGGCCAAACGTAAGTTTTTGATGGTTTGGAAGGAGATAGTTAACATCTAAGTTTTGGTTCTGTTGCAAGTGAATCAGGAAAGCACCAGAAGCTGATGCTGGATTCTGGGCTGCAGCAGGCACATGCACTGTGGGGGGTGGAAGCTGTGAATAGAAGTGTTTGGAGTTGTGCAAAGTGGCACACCTGCATCTGGTGAACACTCACGGTTGGATTATCAGGCTCTGTTGCCAGTGCAGGTAAAGTATAGGACAAGTCACACAGGCTTTTATGTGGACTTAGGTTAGTGGCACCTATTACTCCGGTAAGGATCTCAGGATCAATTGGGGGGTGTTAAAAGGTACATGGGGCTCAGGCACATAAGAGACTCTAGGGTAGTAGGCTAAGAGCCTGAAGAGAAGGTGGAGATGTTGCTCTCTTTAAACTGCTGAGGAGATGGGGGGGTCTGCAAGGCTAGATAACCAGATATTGCTGCATATTCTTGTGGTAGCCGAGCAGTGGAGATGTCATGATAGGCAATTTCAGACCAGGTGACCCTTGGTTACAGCTTCTGGGAAGGATAGTTAGGTGGTCTTTACCTTGGTAATCCTGGAAGATGGGCTTTATGCTTTTCTCATGGTTCCAGGATTCTCTATTGAGCTTCCCAAGGGGCAGCAATAGCCCTGGCTTGTTCACTTACCTAGGAGGAGTCAAGGCAGGAGCATACAGCTCTTCAGACAGCTTGGTGTATTTGACTGCCTGCTGTCAGATACGTGGCTGGGAGAAACCTGCCTTACATTGTACTGGGGCCTATAGTCTGTTTGCTGCTTCTCCTGAATTATCTCAATGTTCATGTGTGAAGCAGCTCACCTTTTGGTCAAGTTTCTGGAAGGCATACCCATGGCGTACTTCTGACCTGCAGGATTCCCTCTGGGTCCACACTCTGATGGTGACTGGTGTTGAGAACTGGGATTAGGGCTTGGTCAGCACACTGTTGCTCCTGCCCTTTTAAGTGATGCCTAGTGTTTCGGTTTAGTTTATATATATTTTCTTTAGTTTCTTGATATCATAATGCTCCTAATACCTGTAAGAGCAGGAATTAGTTAAGGTGTTTTGTTGTCTTTGTTTTTTTTATCCCCTGGTATTAGTTTTATCATTGAAGAGAGACAAGATGAAGACAAGTCTGGAACTTAAAACTGCCAGTAAAGCAAAGAAAGGATTGGAAGCAATATCTTAAAACTATATAGAATGCCAGGTGATGGTAGCCCATGCTTTTAATCCCAGCACTCAAAGACAGGCTAGTCTCCCCTTGGTCTACAGAGTAAGTTCAGGACAGCCAGGGCTACACAGAGAAACCCTGCCTGGGGAGGGGTGGTGGTGGTTGACACCCACCCCCTAAAGGAAAAAAAGAAGCAGCAAAGTGTTCTTTTTTTTTTTTTTTTTTAAAGATTTATTTATGTATATGAGTACACTGTCACTGTTTTCAGATACACCAGAAGAGGGCATCATATCCCATTACAGATGGTTGTGAGCCACCATGTGGTTGCTGGGAATTGAACTCAGGACCTCTGGAAGAGCAGTCAGTGCTCTTAACTTCTGAGCCATCTCTTCAGCCCCCAGCAAAGTGTTCTTAACTGCTGAGCCATCTCTCCAACTTGCTTTGTTTGTGGAATCAAACCCAGGGTTTGGCATATGGTAGTGTTATTTAGTGACATGCGCCTGGTCACCAGGAACAGTGAGCAATTCATTTGCAGTTTATTAGCAAAGTTTACTCACTCCAGTACCTGTCATTATAACTGGCAGATAGGAGAATTCCAGTGTTCTGTGTTTTCTCAAGGGTGGGGGTAAAAGCTAGGGTAGGGACTTGCCTTGATTGAACAACACTATTTAGGGCTTCTTGGGCATTGGTTCTCCATGTAGAAGTCCTTACGTTGTTTTATATACTATCCTATGGATGCAATTAGGGTGCATCAGGCAGATAGAAACCCACTTGGCAAAACCCACACAATTACAAAAACATGTTCAAGAGGCTTTGTCTGCAATCTTTTGCTTGTAAAGGGATTGCAGGGTGTTTTTGTGTTCTGTGCAGGTCGTGGCCGTCCACCTACAGAGCCGTTGCCTGATGGATGGATCATGACTTTTCATAACTCTGGAGTCCCTGTATACCTGCACAGAGAGTCTCGAGTGGTCACGTGGTCCAGACCCTACTTCTTGGGAACGGGAAGCATACGGGTAGGGGAGTCATCTGTCATATATTTAGGCTTGTCAGTTTTCAATGCTTTTCTGCTTGTGTTAAAGTGCAGTCAGACAGACTCAAAGTAGTCCTGATAACCCGTTTCTATGTCTCTATCTACAGAAACATGATCCTCCTCTAAGCAGTATCCCCTGTCTACATTATAAGAAAATGAAGGACAATGAGGAACGAGAGCAAAACTGTGATCTTGCCCCCAGCGGAGAGGTGTCACCTGTCAAGCCCTTGGGTCGATCTGCAGAGTTGGATTTCCCTTTGGAAGAGCCTGACTCCATGGGTGGAGACTCAGGATCCCTGGATGAGAAGGACCCACTGGGGGCTGAGGCAGCTGCTGTAGCCCTGGGACAAGTGAAGGCTAAAGTTGAGGTGTGCAAAGATGAATCAGTTGGTAAGTATACTGTAGAGCTTTCTTTCCTCTTTACTACCTGAGTTTTCACTCCTACTATATGCTATGCATCCTAGTTCCAGGTTGGTATCTGAAAGGAGATTTTTGCCTATACAGCTCATAGGCCAGACAAGCCCTTCCTCCACTTTCAAGAGAAGGCTTGAGTGGAGCGCCTACCCTCCTCCCATCCCCCCACACCCCAACTTTGTAGGCTCCGACTGCCTAAAGCTTCAGTAGAGATGACATGTCAGTGCCAACTAGCCTTTCTGGTTTTGATATGACCTCTGAAGTCTTGGTCTTTCCGTATAATATGCTCATGTAGCATTGTTTAAATTTATCTGATGAGCTTAGAATGAGCCTGCAGTCATAAATTCATCACCAAGAAACTGCCTTCCTTCTGTGGCCAGTTCCCTCCTTTTCTGTTTCTGCTTTTTTGCCTTTTAAGTACTGGGCAATGCTCTTGAGTTTTGCATTTCTCTGGTTATATGCTTGTATTTCTCACTCTTTCTTGTTCCTTTAGCTTAGTTCTGTCCCCTAGATCCCTGTTGTTGACAGAGCTCTTTCAGCCCACCTGCTGAATCACTTCCAAAGAGGTCATGCAGCTTTCAGGATTAGACTTTTTTGTATGCTGTTGGTGTGAGGTGTCCTAGGAGGGATGCAGAGAGAGGAAGCTGCTATTGAGTGGTGTGTATGAAGTGGTTTGGGAAGAGGCACATTAGTGCAGAATATCCGAGGAGCTGGAAAGCCAACTAGGTATGATTTGTTACTGAGTTTAAAGGGGCAGAGGCAAAAGTGAGATGGTCAGAGAAGGTGGTAGACACTTGCTCTTTCTTGGTAGTCAGGTACTTGCTGTTTTTTTTATGTGTATATTTAGCTTTTTCCAGCCCCAATGCTCATTTTGCACTAAGGGAAAAGCCTGAAGACTTCTTTTTTTGTTTTGTTTTTGTTTATTTTAATCCCCCATATCATTTTTATATTGTTTTTGTTAGTCCAGATAAAGTAATGATATATGCTCAGGATTCTTTCCATAAGAGGCTTGCCAGAATGATTTGAAGTAGCTGTGAAAGGACCTAATTTTTTTCTTTTCTTGCTTTTGAAAAGGTTGGGGACAGGGAAATCTGTATTGTACATCCTGAATTTGTTTAATGGCATTGCTATTCTACACAGGGCTGAGGAAAACATGATTCTTAGCTTTGGAAATCTGATAATGTAGTTTTCTGGTATATCTTGGACAGACCTGGAGGAATTTCGTAATTACCTGGAGAAGCGTTTTGACTTTGAGCAAGTAACTGTGAAAAAATTCAGGACTTGGGCTGAGCGGCGTCAGTTCAACCGTGAGATGAAGCGGAAGCAGGCCGAGTCAGAGAGGCCCATCCTGCCAGCCAACCAGAAGCTGATCACTCTGTCTGTGCAAGATGCACCCACAAAGAAAGGTGGGCCAGGCTTGTACTGTCAGCATCAACAGATGGGACATGTTATTGTCATTTTCATGTGCTTAGTCTGTGTTTGAGTTGCACTTACCCCAAATGTGTGTTTTTTGTAATACAGAGACTGCTGTGTTCATAGTGGTAAGCCCCTAATGAGTGACTCAGTGATGTAGATTGTCCAAGTTCCTGAGTTTACCTGAGATAGTTCTTTTTGTCACAGAGTTTGTCATCAATCCCAATGGGAAGTCTGAGGTTTGCATCCTGCACGAATACATGCAGCGTGTCCTCAAGGTCCGCCCTGTTTATAATTTCTTTGAATGTGGTAAGTTCAAACCCATTTTAGTTCTGAAGAGTCTCATACATCATTTTGGTCATGGCTGGAGGTGGGAGTGAGTACATTGGGCCTGCTGGGTTGGGTAGACATGCAAGGCAAGGAGAGAGAGAGAAATATGGAGCAGATGGGATCTTATTTTTACATCAGTGACCCTTGAGAGGGGAGATTGCTCAGCTTTTCCCTTTGAGTTTGTCCCAATTTCCCCCTTCCCCTTTTCTTGTCTTTGGTCTGCCTTGGTGGCTTCTGACTGTTATTAAAAACAGTCTGTAATAAAGACCATTCTGCTGTGCTTGAGTTCTTTTATGATTTTCTGTCCTGTGTCCACCACTCGCCATCTTCCAATGAGGAAGAAGCCTTCATCTGACCACACTTTTTGCCAGCTCTGTCTTCTGTGGGTTGTTCTCACGGTTTATGAATGCCAATGTGGTTGCCTTTGGGAGCTGAGACCTAGGATCACTTCTTTTGATGGGCGGGGTGGCTGTTCCTCAGATGTCCTTGATCCTATGCTTTGCTATTCTTGACAGTCCTGTTTGTCTTTCAGAAACCTCATCCCTACCTTGTCCCTGTACTGGACAGCTCTGTCTCCAGCTTCTGCTTCCCCTTTGGATAATTTCCCATAGTGCCCCTTACTCTTCAACTTTCCCATCGTACCCTTTGTTGTCTGTGGTTTCCAACCTTGTCTTTGCATCTCAGACAAGCGTAGACATGATTTATTCAGGGGTATCTTGTCAGGGCTGGCCAACTTTGTATTAGCATGCTTTTAATGTTTTGTCAAGTGTTTTATAACCAGTAATTTTAATTTTAAGAGAATCCAAGTGAGCCTTTTGGTGCCTCCGTGACCATTGATGGTGTGACTTATGGATCTGGAACTGCAAGCAGCAAAAAACTTGCGAAGAATAAAGCTGGTAATGTGGTTTGCTTGATATCAGCTACTTTTCCTGTTGCTGGGATAAGATGGCCTTACAAAAGCAACTTAAGAAAGGAAGGGCTTGTTTTGGCTCATCAGTTTATCTTGGTGTGACAGGCATGGTGCAGGAGCTTGTGGGTGCTGCTAAAATGGCATCTGCAGTCAGGAGCTTACAACTTCCTTTCCCCTTTTTGTTCAGCCCAGCACCTCAGCCCATGGGATGGTGCCACTTAGCATTAAGGTGGGTTTTCCCACCTTAGTTTACCATATCTAAATAGTCCAGATCCTAACTTGATTTAGATATTCATCACAGGCATGCCCAGAAGTTGGTAATCAGAATTAAACATCACATTTGGTATCCCAGAAACATGCTGCATGCTGGGTTTTCATCTCTGATTAGCAAGTAGCTGAATAATGCCTGTAGGTTTTTATGGGTATAGGTAAGACATTTATTTGTGTTACCTATTTTATTTTATTTATTTATTTATTTATTTATTTATTTATTTATTTATTTTTGAGACAGGGTTTCTCTGTGTAGCCCTGGCTGTCCTGGAACTCACTCTGTAGACCAGGCTGGCCTCGAACTCAGAAATCTGCCTGCCTCTGCCTCCCAAGTGCTGGGATAAAAGGCGTGCGCCACCACTGCCCAGCTACCTATTTTATTTTTAAAGGTGCTTTTTAAAAAGACTTAATTTGGGTGTGTGGGTGTGTGGGTGTGCGTTTGTGTATGTATGTACGTGTATATATATATACCTATATGTACACGTGTGTACTACTTGTGTGCTGGTGCCCTCAGAGGCCAGAAGAGGGCATTGGATTCTTTGGATTTGGAATTAAAGGAAGTTGTGAGTCACTTGATATGAGTGCTGAGAATCAAACCCAGAGCCTCAAGTGCCTTTAACCCTTATTGGGTCATCTCTTCTGCCCTGTCCTTTGATTTTTAAAACATAAGAGTAGTTTATAGTAAGTGACTGTAATGTAGTACTGAGAAGCTGCTACTGGACCATTGTGAATTTCAGGCTAGCCTTGGCTACAGAGCAATGCTGTCTTAAAACTAAGGGCTGGAGATATAATTAAGCTTTAGAGTAGGTCAAGGACAAAATATAATAATTATGTGCTTATTTTAATTGATTTAAACTAAAAGAGTAAAAAGACTTTGATGAGTTAGAAAGATGGGTCAGTAGTAAAGACCATGTAGTATTCTTTTACTGGAACCAAGTTTGTCCTGCTGTGACAAAGCACCGTGACCCCAAGGCAGCTTTACAATAAAGCATTTAATTGGGGCTTGTGGTTTCAGAGGTCCATGACCATGGCAGCAGGCAGGCATTGGAGCTGTAGCTTAGAATTTTTATCAGATCTACAAGCTTGAGGCATGGGGGTGGGGGGAGGGAGGGAAGGAGAGAAGGGGAGGAGGGAGGAGAAGAAAGGAGAGGAGAGAAGAGAAGAGAGAGAGTGCTAACTTGAAATGGTGTGGGCTTTTGAAGCCCCAAACCACAAGGCCATGCCTCAGAATCCTTTTCCAAATGTTTTACCTCCTAGGGACTAAGCATTCAAAATCTGGAGACTATGGGGTGGGGCTAGGGAGAAAGGGGGGGCATTCTCATTCAATTCCCCATAATTCTCAGAACCCACATGGTACAGCTTACAAAGAACTTTAACTCTAGCTCCAGGGCAATCTAATGCCTCTGGCTTCTGCACAAACATATACACATAATCAAGATTCTAGCCAGGTGTATGTGGTAGCACACATTTAATCCCACCATTTGGGAGGCAGAGACTGACAGATCTCTTTGAGTTTGAGGCCAGCCTGGTCTACAAAGTTCCAGGACAGTTAGGGCTATGTCTCAGAAACAATTAGATTTTTATTTTTTTTAAAGTGACTTTATATATTAGAGGGCCTCTTTCTACTGAATAATAACAGAGTCAGTGTCTTCTGTTCTTACTCCAGCCAAATGTAGATTTGGGTATGCTTATAGCTAACTGGGCCATATGGGGCACATGCAAGTGTGTTTTGTTTTGTTTTATTTATTTATTTATTTATTTATTTATGCGTGTTTTTTTAAAAAAGACTTTATATTTACACAAGTTTGTTTTTAAACAGCAAAATATGGGCATGGTAAGAGAAAAGATAGATTGTATGCTATGATCATTTTGATATTTGTTTAGATTATTTCCTGAGTCCTTCTGACTTCAGATTGGGGATTAAAGAGTCATTGTGAACAGTTTTCATCCCAAGAACTAGTGTTTTCTTTTAGACCTACTATCCCATGTCTCTGCCTTCTGCCTTTATGGATAGATAGACAGCATTTTTGCACCAAGCTGTTTTGACCAGCATTGGGGTTATTTGGTTCTTCTGAGCAGTGGAGTATATTGTAGATTATTAGTGTTAGGTATACTTCTGGCCCTGGTACATACAAGGCCATTCTTGAACTTTACCTATGGGATTGTTGTCTTCCAGAACTGGTCTCTGTTTAGAACCGGAGATATTCCAGTTTTCTCAGTCTCACTAGGTCAGGGGGAGGATCTTCTACTTCTTTTTTTTTTTTTTAAAGATCTATTTATTTATTATATATGAATACACTGTAGCTGTCTTCAGACACACCAGAAGAGGGCATCAGATCCCATTACAGGTGGTTATGAGCCACCATGTGGTTGCTGGGATTTGAACTCAGGACCTCTGGAAGTGCAGTCAGTGCTCTTAACCACTGAGCCATCTCTCCAGCCCCGATCTTCTACTTCTAAGAATCAGTTTCTCTGCTATTTTTTAGTGGCCATTACTGAGGACAGTGGCTTTCTATGTCATGTTACTGGCTGTCCTCTGTTCAGTTGCCCTTAGCTTACATATTCTGACTTAGTCTCCAAGATACCCTGATACCTATTTTGCTAACTTACTCATGCAGAGTTAGGAATTGAGCCAGGTCCTCCCATGTAAGGTGTGTTACCACTGAGCTAATCTCTATCTTCTGCAGTACATTATAGAAGAATTCAGTCTAAAAAGACTGCAGGTCAACAAATTGTCAAGACTTTCAACAGATAGCTTTTGAGATAGGACCTGGCAGATGAATGGAAACCCCCTCAGGCCTATCCTAAGCTATTCTTTACAAGATTACCAGTCTGTGTTCTGGACTTTGTGTCCTCCACCTGTATTTCGGCTACTCACTGTAGGTATCTGCACTGTTTGGTCTTTATTACAAACTTATTTTGCTGAGATGTCTTACCAACAATGCTGTGCTGGACCAGACAGCAGTTAGTCCATAGCTATTGCATGCATTCTTTCCCCATTGTGAGTGGCCTGTTGATGATCCTTACACATGGTTCTTCCAGAGTTCCTCAGATATGCCCATCTACCTCTTAGCAGCTGTTGTCCATGTGTTGTAGTCCATAGCACCCTGTTGTCAGTCCTCCTTGGGTGCAGGCTTTACCAAGCCATCTTTTTCTTGCAACTTGATTCCTCTAAAAACACAGATGGAGATGTAAGGTCCTCCCTTGGTAAAATTGGCATGCAAACTTGTATTATCTCACTGTCCCTTTTCAGGTTTCACTTGTTCTTTATCCCCTCATAATTCTACCTTTTAAAGTGCTGTTGCTGCTTTTGGCTATGAGTGTGGGAGCCAGCATGTAGGCTCACTGCTTGCTGGGCAACATACAGGGTTATTTTTGGGCTTCCCCTCACCTCAGACTTTTTTCTTTTTGTAGCCCGAGCCACACTGGAAATTCTTATCCCTGACTTTGTTAAGCAGACCTCTGAGGAGAAGCCTAAAGATAGTGAGGAACTGGAGGTGAGTGTGGTGACCTTGTTCTCCTGGGAACTACCATACAGCCACTGACCCCATTGCCTCAACCAGGGATGTACACCATGTCAAGGGTATAATCATCAGCCTGTAAGAGGAGCTCGCTTACCTTTGTGAAGACAGAGGAGAAAGTCTTGAAGACTTTACCATTTAGTTATGTATGTTACACGAGTAGATCTATGATGGAAATGAATCTGGCAGAGTGTCTAAGATTGAGATTGTTGTTACAACTATCTAAAACCCTGTCCTGTAGAAACCTTTTAGGATAAATGTGGTTTTACAGCTATTCATAGCAAAAGAGTTTAATTTGGTTTTAAATTGATTTCTTGTCTGTTCTAAGTTTCTTGTGGTCACTGGTCATTTTAAAACCAGACTGTTGAGTTCTTTGGCTTTTGAACTCTTTTGCTATCTTTAGGTTCAGTTATAAAGGAGTCCTGAACATTTTTAGGAATTGTGTTGCCTTGGCTTTTCAGAGTTCTTGTGTTTCTACACTGTGTCTTGCATATCTTTTGGGATAGGTATCTCTTCAAGTTATTAAATTTATTTAAATGGGAGACAAAGACAGGCAGATCTCTGTGAGTTTGAGGTCAGGCTAGTCTACATAATTAGTTCCAGGCCAGCCAATAGCTACATGGTGAGACCCTGTTGTTCAAACAAAACAAAACAAAACAAAACAAAAAAACAAAAAAATTTTTTTACTTATAGATTTTTAAGTTTTATGGGGTCTTGTTAGTGGAGTCTTATTGGGTTCTTGGAATATATTCCCTATTTGCACTAAGAGAGAGAACAGTCTCTCTAAAAATAATTCTGTTTTTATATTAAATTGATTTATTATTTACTTTGGTGGTTACGTATGTGCGTGGTTGCATGCATGCTGTGATATATATGTGATGGTAGATGAACAACCTGAGGGGGAGTGGGTTCTTTCCTTCTACCATATGCATTCTGGGACTGAAACTCTGGCCCTCAAGCTTATGTGACAAGTGCATTTGCCATTGAGCCATTCTATGATGTTTAACTACATTTAACTATTAGGAAAGGAGAACAGTAGTAAACTAAGAAAAAGAAAAGTTGTATGGGGTGAAGGTATAAGAAAAAGTCCTGGCCAGGCGGTGGTGGCGCACACCTTTAATCCCAGCACTTGGGAGGCAGAGGCAGGCGGATTTCTGAGTTTGAAGCCAGCCTGGTCTACAGAGTGAGTTCCAGGACAGCCAGGGCTACACAGAGAAACCCTGTCTCGAAAAACCAAAAAAAAAAAAAAAAAAAAAGAAAAGAAAAAGTCCTGGCTTGGTATGGCATGGTAGTGTATGCCTGTAGTCCTAATACTTGGGAAGTAGAGACAAGAGGACCAAAACAAGAACAAATGTGGGTACTCAAAGTCAGCTTGAGCTATATGAGACACTGTTTCAAATCAAACCAAAAATAAAAATAGAAAGAAAACTTAAGTGATCACACAAGAACACAATACAAAAGGAAAGAAAAGGGAAGGGAGCCAGCAGGAGATCTTCTTTCTTGCTGATGACAAGAGAAAGGATGAGTCCTTTTTCTCCAGGCTCGTTTTATAGGTGAGTGAAGTCCAAAACAATTCAGAAGAAAAGAGCTTTTCTCAAGCTGTATTGTTGGGTTGAAAGTCCTGTTTTGTGGGCCTAGTTATGCTGCAAAGTACAATAGCCTCCCTCAAAATGCTTCTATTAGCCTAGCTAAAGGACATTCTCTTTCTCTCTGAGCACCAGAGGCCCTCTGTCTGGTGGGTTTGTGGTGGGAAGTTTTTTTGTGTATGTGTGTATGTACATATAAACAGAGAATAACCTCAGGTATACCTTAGGTGCTAGCCACATTTTTTGGGAGTATTTGTCTGGCCTGGCATACCCAGTAGATTTGGTTGCTTGGCAAGTACTAGGGATAAGTCTGTCTTTTCATGCCTACAACACCACCATGCTTGGAATTAGTGTTGGTTCTTGAGATTGAACCTTGGATTTTATGCTTATGCAGAAAACACTTTGCCAACTACTTGAGCTGTCTTCTCAGCCTTTAGGGTAGAAAATTCTGCCCAGCAGCAGTTAATTTTCTCCACCCTCTGAGAATATCCAAAGTAGCGAGGCCAAAGCAGTCTGCACTATCTAGCCAAAGGGTTCATCTTAACTGCCCTGGCCTCAGTTCTGTCCTGCACTCCACTTGTATTCACACCTAGCTAGCTCCCTCTTATTAGCATTTGGCTTGCAGCTTCCTTATCTGCTTGCTCTGGGCTTCAGTCTGATACAGTTGCCATGTACCATCCAAGTATGTATGTCTGAACCTGATTCACATCCAGTTTCCCAGGTTCACATGCATTCTTTTTTTTCCCCCCTTTAATTAAAAGATTAATACATTATTTTCCTTCCCTCCAATCTCTCTGATGCCGTACCACTCCCATTCTTGGGTAGTCAAATTAGCCAGTGGACAACTTTGAAGTTTGGAGATCGGAAAATATAGGATTTTCTCTCCCTAGCTTAATGGTATATAAGACCTCTCCTGAGATAGTTCCCCTCCATGATACCAGTGAGCAAGATAAGTGCTTGATTACAGGAATTTTTTTAATATTCCTTAAATTTATTTGTGTATGTGCATGGAAATCAGAGGATGGCTTATGAGAGTTGGCTCTCTACTGTATTGGTTCTGGAGATTGAATATAGATTGTTGGCTTGGTGGCAAGTACTTTTACCTACTTAGTCATCTCAATAGCCCTAGATAAAGAATTAGTTGATTAGCTTCCTAGCCCATACTGCCTTTTATCTTTTCTGGTTTCTGATAAGAAACTGTTTTGGATATAGAACTATCACAAATTTAAGCTCATCCTGGGCTAGGCAGTAAGACCTGTTTCAAAAAATAAAACACCAAAGAGTGGGGTATATCTTGATGGCAGAGCACTTTGCTAATGTATATAAGGCCCTGGGTTTGATTTCCAGCATTGGAAGGAAGGAAGAAGAACAGAAAAGGAAAGACAAACAAACATTGCTTGTTAACCTCTGAGTTTTCTGTGTCCACTGAATAGATTATCTTCTGCTTTCAAGAAGCTCTGTTTGCCCTTCAGTGGATGATGAGTCTACAAACAGATGCGTGAGGTTATTCCACTTGGGATTTATTTAGCTTGCTGCTTTTTGGTTTTTGTTTTGAGACAGAGTCTGTCTCTGGCAGTCCTAGAACTCAACTATATACACAAGATTGGCCTTGAACTCAGAGAAATCCACCTGGTTTGCTTCCTGAGTGCTGGCATTAAAAGCACGAACCACCACATGGGCTACTGTGATTTTTTTTTTTTTTTTTTCCTCCTGAGACCAGGTTTTGCTGTGCAGCTTGGCTGTCTTGGAACTTGATCTGTAGACCAGCTGGCCTTGAACACACAGATCTGAGCACTGAATTAAAGGCCACTACCTTCTGAGTATAAATTTTTACACTTACTGGTGATTTTAATTTGTCCTAAAGGTTTCTGCAACTTTCCCTTATTTTTATTTTTGTTCCTAGACTAGATAATCTTAACAGACCTACCTTCATGTTTGGTGATATTTCTTCTGCCGATTTGAATCTACTAGGAAACACTTCTAGTGAATGTTTTATAATCCTCTCTTTGCCCTTCTTCTTGTGTTAGGATAACTCTGTCCCTGAGTCATAAATCCAGCCTCATCCCCACTCCTACCCTTGTGAGTGTGTTTGTTTTGAGACAGTGTCTCACTATGTAGCCTTGCTGTCCTGGAACTCTTTATGTACCTCCTAGAGATCCACCTTCTGCCTCCCAGGGCTGGGATTAAAGGCATATACTATCAGCGTTTAAGAACACTTAACTATTCTTGCAAAGGACCCACGTTTGGACCTAAACATTGGATGGGTTACAACCACTGGTACTTCCAGTTCCAGGGGATTCAATACTTTTGGCCTTACTGGGCACATTCATTCATATATACATACAAACATAATTTAAAGTGATAAAAATAAATAATAAAAATTATAAAAGTAGAAGCTGGAGAGATTGTTGAATGCTTGAGGACCTGAATTTGGTCCTGCCCCCCATCCCTCCTTCTAGATCTGATGCCCTTTTCTGGCCTTTGTGGTCACTGTACACAAGTGGTACACAGACATGCATGAGGTTAAAGCACCCATACATACAAATAAATTTTTTTTGAGAAAGAATTTTAAACTCAGAAGGAAACTCAAGGACAATATATTGGTATTACAAAGAGTAGGATCGGGCAGGCAAGCTAGAGATCTTACCAGCTACCAGTAGGAGGAGGATAAAGGACAGACAGTGAGAACAAGTGAGGACAAGATGTGCCAGTAGAAAAGAGAGCTTGGTGCTGTGGACCTTTGTCTGTAGGTTGTGTGTCTGTGTGTTCGTTTCTTGCTGCCCGTCAGTGTCAGAAGTTAATAACTGGTATCTCCGTAACTCCTTCTTTATCTTCTTTCAGAGACAAGGCCTCACTGTGTAGCTGTCTCAGTTGCTCTGGATCTCTCTCTCTCTCTCTCTCTCTCTCTCTCTCTCTCTCTCTCTCTCTCTCTCT